ATTAACGGCGATGACACCTGGTACTAAAAAAAAGGTCGTTTGTCCCGCTCGATCTCCCGTGTGAGATAATCTTGGGCACGTGCTTTGCATTCACAAATTCTTAGTCGGTGCAATATTTATTTAGTTTGTTCTCGCATGAGGTTCGCGTTTATTTCTTTCTCGGGGTAACGCCAGCTTCTGATCATCGTAGAAATAAATAAAAAAAACTCCTGACTACGTCCTTTCTATAAATCTGGACGGATTATGTGCGGTTAATGCCCGAAAGATATTTATATGAATATAAAAGCCATATGCTGCTGCGGAAGCAGAGGCAGCTTTTGGAAGTGCGCCTTTAAGGGCGCGCGCGAGCGTCGCTCGCCGAGTTGCGGTGACCCTCCCGAAATTGGCAGAACCAGAATATTTGTACTGGAGGAATCCGATGAGCTATAAAATATCCTTTTTCACAGATGTCCAGTAGGCTCTTCGCCTCCCCCCCACCACTCCCACCCCCCTAAACAAAAAAACGAATCTTCCAAATTAAGAAATGCCTATGACAAAGCCCTGCAGTTCTCAAATCGTTGTTCGCCAACCCCCGGGGGGCTTGTGTCGGGGGGGGGCTCGTTCGGCCGTCACCTTTCGGCGACGAAACACACACGATGCTATGAGTGGGGGGGGGCTGGGGAGTCGATTATGGGGGGGGGGGGCGCAGGAGCAAAAGTGATCGAGGGCCACTGGACGAGACGCACGGTTTTAAATGGGGTGCCCGGGGTATTGTGGGGATGGTGCGTCGCTTTAGCACGTCAAGATATCAAACACAACACCGAGGCTGGGGCAGGCTGGGGCAGGCTGGGCAGCAGAGACGCGAGGGCTGCACAAGTCGCGACTCCCGGCAGAGGTCCCGACGCTTCGCAACTGACCCGGACACGGGCCGCTGCCATGCACGTTGGAGATGTTGACTCCCTCGCCTGGTATACAGGAGGTTCGTGGGCTCGATCCCGAACCCCCGACTTCCTGCTGCTGCTGCTGCTGTGTGTTTGGAGTTTGTGGCGTCTCTCTCCGGGGTCGTCCGCTTTTTGCCCTCCACATTTTTTAGAGATTAACGTCACGCAAAGTTTAGAGTCTTCGACTTGTGTGCTATGAATTCCCACGTGATAAGCCACTTAATCTGGGCTATCCGTTTGTGACAGGCTTCTAAGAATAGAGCTAGATAGCTCGGTGGGCCTTAGCTTGTAAAATAAAATAAAAATGTAGTTTAGTTTAAGTTGTAAGTATGTTGAACTTTTTTCGCACCGTACGTAGCCCCCCGTGCAGCAAGGCCGCTCCAGAGATAATTGACGTCCCATAACAGCGGGGGACCATTGCTAATATCCCCCCCCCCCCCGTCCTGCCACCCTGTATCATGCCACCCAGATGATCAACGCGTGAACGTGCCTCGAATAAAGTTGTACGGGTGGTGGTAACAACACGCACTCGCAAGCACGCGAAAACAACTTCACCTGCAATTGTACGCAGCAGCGTGAGTTAAATCGCCTGCACGGGTGGCGAACGATGCAGCATCACACTTCCACCACGACCCGAGTCAGTCACTTCACAAGTAAGACAAGGGCCCCCCCCCCCCCCCCACGGCTGTCACTAATCAACCCCCCCCCCCCCCCACGGCTACAAAAAAGATAAAGATCCCCCCGTATAGCATTAACAGACGGTAGGGGCAAGTGCTGTGAGCGAGCACCTATGAAGGCCGGCACGGCACACGAGGGGATGGGGTGGCCAACACCACGCCCGGCCGCCTTTGTCTCCCCAGTGGCGATGCTCACACATCGCACCAGGTATCTCATTTTAGGCTGAGTCGACCTAGGGGAGGCCCAGGACCGGTTCAGATAATCGTCACTGGGTGTTGGCCGTTGAGCGGAAATCGAACCCGGGTCGCCAGGTTCGTAGCGCAGCGCGCTAACCGCTGCACCACCGCCCCCCACAGCCCCCCACAGCCTAAGAGCACGTTGAAAACTGCCCCCCCCCCCGAGGTTTGCTTAAACAATACTAAATCACGATTATAAGAAAGCCGGAAGGCAAATAGACCGAGAGGCTGAACAAGAATAATGTATATTTAACGTGAAGATACAAAGGACATATTTATTTATTACATTATCTCATGGTGACCGCTCAGTGTAAACACGCGCAGTTGCGCAACAGCTGGACCGCCACCTGAGTTCAATTCCCGGCAGCGGCTGGCTTCAGTGGGTGGGTGAAATTGGCCCCGTTCACAGCGGGCCCCCTCCTCTACCCCCCCCTCCCGCCCGCCCGCCCTCCTCAACCAACCGGCACTGACCAGCGTGGTGAAGTATGGTTAAAGAACCCCCCCATGAGATGGGCGTGTGTGGGGGGGGGGGCTTCATTCAGCAGTGGATCAACAATTATTTTTTTTACAGAAGCAAACGTTTTATTATTATTTTTTCACTTTATTTTTTATTCATTAATTGTTATTATTTTTTCTATCCCCGTGACTTTACCGAAAGAACCACAGCATAAGCAAACGTGGCATTGCCATCGGACAGTTTCCAGGGTAATGTCCCATCGACTCTAAAACATCATTTGCTGTACTCCACTTCTATGCGTCCACATCCACGCCTCGCACGCCGCATTCACCGACCAGCGTGGTGAAGTATGGTCAAAAATAACCGCAACGCCCGACAAAGGCGGGGAGAGAATATACAACACCGACAGTGGTTTGGCAATAACGAGCTGCACGTAGCAATCATCATTATCATCATCATGATCAATCCACTGCTGGATTTCAGGCCTCCGGCAAGCCTCAACAATCTCTCACCGTTCTGCTACACGCGTGTGCGCGTTCAATATCCCCCCAGTGGCGATGACATCTAAAATAAAAACCTTTCTCCAGCTGTCGGGAAGGTATTCTTGGTCAATGACCGCATCAGCAATTTGCACTTCAACTGCTAGCGCTTGCCCTGCACAGGTGGTGGCGGCGGTGGTAGTGGTCTTAGGGGCAGTCCAAAGTGCGCGCAAGTCGATTTAGTATCGTGTATATCAAGTGGAGGGGAGGGGGAGCGGTGGGCCAAGTGGTTAGCGCATTTGTAGTCACCAACCCGGCCCACAAACGAGTTCAACATTTCCCGGTTGCGGCTGTAACGTCAGCAGTAGCGGCGAGTTTATATCAGAGCAGATCAGGGCACTCACCCCACCCACATGCCCCTTTTGCCAGCATGGTGAAGTATGATCAACTCTCCCGCCTTCACCGTAGCGGCAAGACATGGGGGAGGTCTAACTTCACCCATCGGTGGATTGAGAATAGCTGGAATTTATATTTCACTTGCTCGTGAAATTGTGAATTCTTTTTTCTTCTTCGTCAACAGCCTGCGTCTTCCCGACAATGCCCGCTCGCCACACCTCACATCCATCGTGTTGCCGGTAACCAGAGTTCTAGTTTGCCGTTTTAAACAAACCCTCCCCCAAAAAAGGTAACAATTATTTACAGTCCCTTGTCGATCCACTGCTGGATGAAGGGAATTCATCCCCACGGCGTTACCGGTCGTGGAGGATGTTTGACCATACTTCACCGCGCTGGTACGCGCGTGCGTGTGTGCAAGGGATGGTGTCGGGGCGGGCTGGAGAGTGACCAGATCCTGGTTCATATATCCCGAGCCGCCGATGCAAATAGCTCTGAGCGGGTATAGGATTTCACTCGGTCGGATCGCTGCCTGTGCAGGTTCTTAGCGCAGTGCGCTCACCGCTGCTGCCGCAACAGGGCTTCACCTAGTCCCCCGTTACGTGGCGAACTGAACAAAATTGATGTATTTATGATCCTATCATCAAAAGTAATCGATTTCACATCGCTGTGGGAACATGCGTGATAACGCGCGCAGCTGGCGCTATCGATTTGCTACGAGCAACACGCGGAAACCTAAGCAGGGTTGCAACCTGGCGAGCATCGCTGTTAAGATTGACGGACTGCCTGGAAATGAAATGTTATCGCATGCAGACCTTCGCGCCGCGAGGTGGCGATGATATATATCGAATGTAGAACCGTGTTCTTTAATCGAAACTATCTGCGCGGAGAGTTTTCCAGTGGGGGTGCCACGGTGGCGAGATGTTAACGACCTCGCCTGGTATGCAAGAGGTCGTGGGTTCGATCATAGACCCTGATGTCTGTATATTTGGAGTTTGCGTGTCTCTCTCTCTCGCTCCCTGTGGTCGCGTGGATTTGTCTCCGGGTCCTCCGTTTTTTTCCCCCCCTCCAACATTTCGAATCAACGTCACGCGTTTAGAACATTTGCAGGCTATAAATGTCCACACGATCAGCCACTTCGTTGAACAATCATTTGTGGCCAAGTCGCTTCTGAAAAAGAGCCACGCTATAGCTCAGTGGGCCTCATTTGGTTAAAAAATTGTATTTTAGTTTATAGAGTGTCAGCCCATATCTCCGTGTCTCTTGCCACGTGAAGCCAAACTCACATCAACGGAATTGACCGAGCATCCCCAATTGCAGCAGTACTCTCCTGAGACTTGGCACCCTGGGAGGTTTTCCCTGGGTAAAATAAAGGACATTTCTCGCTAGCCTAGTTCTTACTATGCCGATGGTCACCACCGCTCCGGTTACAATACTACAACCTGCCCGCGTCCTACATTAGAGCCGATCACATTACGATCACCACCACCGTGAAATATAATCGACTAGTTCCTCGAATAAAGTCATCAGTCAGGGTCGCATTGCGACGCAATGTCCACGTTGGCGTTGGGGGGGGGGGGAATGGGTAACGGAGCGGTGGCGCAGCGGTTAGCACACCCACGTTTTCAAGTCGGATCAGCAGAGGATCTCGAATTCGCGCGCGCACAGATGCGGCTCTACGCTCGCTCGCCTTTGCCAGCCCCGAGCTCACCGGCCCCGAACGAGACCTCTCCCACGCCAAAACGAGCAGGGCACGGCGCCGTCGGGGTGGCTTTCGTCCGAGCAAGCGTGCAAGTCGGCGTGGTGGTGCAGGGACGTGGAAGGTTGCGGTACTCACCGTGAAGGGAGGGGATGGGGGTCCCTCTTTTGCTCCGAAGATCCGACTCAGGAGTTGTTGGGTTTTTTTCGTCTTCGTATGGGGTGGGTTGGAACACTCGATTAAAGGGCTTCTTGGCGTTTTCCGTAGCACGCTCCTTCTTGCCCCCCCCCCACTCCCAACACACGCAGAAATCCGGAATCAAAAGTCAAATGTAAGAGGATGGGAGGAGAGAGTGAGAAAGTAAAGTAGCCGCGACGTCCGGGTAACTTCGCTAACGATTGCAGGGGGGGAGGGCAGGACTGCGAATCGGTGTGTCTCGCTTTGCTGCGACTTGGTGCAAAAAAAAAATAACAAAAAAACGCACGAGGTCTACTTTTCAACTAGAAATGCTTGGGCTAGTATATCTCGAATATGTTTGCAAAGAAAATAAACAAACGTTGAGTCTTCCGCTCAGCTCTTGAGGCTTCGGAGATAAATCAGCAGCCGCTGTTGCTTCTGCGAACGGAGCACGGGACACTCTTCACCGAGAGCTTCCCACGGCAACACATCCGTGGGTCTCAGACGCCGGAGGAGTGGTGGTGGTGGATGACGACGACGACGACTTTGCAGACGACGGTGGTGCTGCAAGACGACCCAGATGATTCGAATGCCGATCAAAGCAAAGAAGGTTGCGGTAACGTCCCCCTCGATAACCTCACCACCTCGCTCCAGCCACTGCGCGTGGCTTGGTCTCTCTCTGCTGCTTCTCTCTCTCTGTCTCTCTCGCTGTCTCTCTTTCTCTCCGTGCCGCGTGATCTCGACTCGCCCACCGACTGCCCAGCTCGTCGCCTCGCTCGCAGCTCAAATAGAATCACCGCAGCACGAGCCGCGTTGGGCTGCCCCGATAACGTGGTGCGCACGTCACGCCCCCCCCACTCCTCCTCCCCCCCCCAACTCATCTCTCCCCCCCCCACCACCACCACTCATGCACCAACGCCCGCATGCATTGCTGCTGTAACGTAGCCCAACCTCCCATAGCAAGCCCAGCCCAGTTCATTCCGGCATGCCCGCTCACCCCCACCAATACGCACACCACCACCACCCACCCACCCCGCCACCCAGCCCGCCCCGGCTGTCCACCCGTGTGTGCGCAGAGTGAGAGAGCGAGTCGAACTCCCATCCCCTCCCTCTCTCCAGCCACAACCGCCTCCTCTCTCTCTCTCTCAGCCACAACCTCCTCCTGTCTCTCTCCAGCCACAACATCTTTCCTCTCTACAGCCACAACATCTTTCCTCTCTACAGCCACCCACCCCCTTCTATTTCTCTCCAGCCACAATCTCCTCTTTCCCGCCGTCCCTTTGCAGCCACAACCTCGTATCCCTGCCTCTCTTCAGCCACAACATCTTTCCTCTCTCGCTATCCACAACCTCCTCCTGTCTCTCTCCAGCCACAAAATCTTTCCTCTCTACAGCCACCCACTTCCTTCTATCTCTCTCCAGCCACAATCGCCTCCTCCCGCCGTCCCTTTGCAGCCACAACCTCGTATCCATGCCTCTCTCTCCAGCCACAACATCTTTCCTCTCTCGCTATCCACAACCTCCTCCAGTCTCTCTCCAGCCACAACCTCCTCCTCTGCAGGCCACAACCCCATCCTCTCTCTCCCTCTCGCTTTCCACCCCCCCCTCCCCTCTGTCCACCCCCCTCCCCTCTGTCCACCCCCCTCCCCTCTGTCCACAGCGACGATCACCCCCGCCCCGCCTCTCGACAGGACGCGTGGCTCCCCCTCAATGACGTCACTGAAGCGCATCTCGCCCCCCCCCCGCGCAACCCCTCCCCCACCCGCCCCCAACTCTGTACGCACGGGTCCGTGCTGCGAGCTCGGGGTAAACATACATCATCAGCATCATCGTCACCATCAGCATCATCATCACCATCAGCAGCATCACCATCATTACCATCAGCATCATCATCACCATCAGCAGCATCACCATCACCATCAGCAGCATCACCATCAGCATCATCACCATCATCGTCACCATCAGCATCATCACCATCAGCATCATCATCAGCATCGTCACCATCAGCATCATCATCAGCATCATCACCATCAGCATCATCGTCACCATCATCACCATCATCATCATCGTCACCATCAGCATCATCATCGTCACCATCAGTATCATCATCGTCACCATCAGCATCATCATCAGCATCATCGTCATCAGCATCATCGTCACCATCATCACCATCATCATCGTCATCATCATCATCGTCACCATCAGCATCATCATCGTCACCATCAGCATCATCATCGTCACCATCAGCATCATCATCAGCATCGTCACCATCATCAGCATCATCATCATCGTCATCATCAGCATCATCATCAGCATCGTCACCATCAGCATCATCATCGTCGTCGTCACCATCACTTGGACACATTGGTGAGTGCCGGTTGCGTATGTGGATCGATTATTGGGTTCGACCCCCCCCCCTCCCAGCAGCCGCTAGAGGCCGCCACATTCACCACAGCGGGAGCACGCAAGGAGAAAAACACACGAAGCGCAAACGGCGACTGCATCGAGATCGAACAGGTGGCGGCCCCGACGTCTATTCCTTGCTCGGCTCACGTCAGTGGCGAGTGACGCCGTCACCAGCACCACCACTAGCACCACCAGCACCACCACCAGCACCACCAGCACCAACACCACCAGCACTACCACCAGCACCACCACCAACACCACCAGCACCACCACCACCACCAGCACCACCACCACCAGCACCACCACCACCACCACCACCAGCACCACCAGCAGCACCACCACCAGCACCACCAGCACCATCACCACCAGCACCACCAGCACCACCAGCACCACCACCACCAGCACCACCAGCAGCACCACCACCAGCACCACCAGCACCATCACCACCACTACCACCACCACCAGCACCACCAGCACCACCACAAGCACCACCAGCACCACCACCAGCACCACCACCAGCACCACCACCAACAGCACTACCACCAGCACCACTACCACCACCAGCACTACCAGCACCACCACCAGCACCACCAGCAGCACCACCACCAGCACCACCACCAGCACCACCACCAGCACCACCACCACCACCACCAGCACTACCAACACCACCACCAGCACCACCAGCACCACCAGCACCACCACCAGCACCACCACCAGCACCACCAGCAGCACGACCACCAGCACCACCAGCACCATCACCACCACTACCACCAGCACCACCAGCACCACCACAAGCACCACCACCAGCACCACCACCAGCACCACCACCAGCACCACCACCAACAGCACTACCACCAGCACCACCACCACCACCAGCGCTACCAGCACCACCACCAGCACTACCAGCACCACCACCAGCACCACCACCAGCACCACCACCACCAGCACCACCACCAGCACCACCACCAACAGCACCACCACCAGCACCACCACCACCACCAGCACTACCAGCACCACCACCACCACCAGCACCACCACAGCTGTTGTCCGGCTTCATGTTAGACGTTTCGTTCCACGTGCTGGGAGCTTAATCAGGAATTGAATTTGGGGTGGGTGGGTGGAGGGCGGGGAGGGAGGGAGGTTGCAGAATTGTAAATGTTCGCTCACGTTATTCGTCAGTGTTTGTTACATAAACTCTTTGATCCCTCTGATCCTTCCATAAACACCATTACGATGTAAAACAACCGAGCAAATAGCAAATGACACACGACGTGTAAACCGGTATTAGTCCAAGCATCACCAATGCCTAACACACAGACGAAAAAAAATGTACCTGCAAATCACTCAATTGGAATCACAGACACAGCGGCAAACATCGCCCCCTACCGCTACTCAACTGGGCAGGAACATCCCTGACCAGAAAGAGCCTTGAGACCCAGCGAGACTTACGTGGAAATAGCTGTGAACAAAAAAAAGCTTCATAGCTCATCGGATTCCTCGAGTATAAATACATTCTGTTTTTTTCCTGGATAAACCAGCGTCGTAAGAATATAAATGATAGTAATTATCAACAACGTGACCAAACTAGCACGCGGGCGCCGTTAGCTGCCTAATTAGCCGCTGTGTGTGTGTATGTGTTCACAATTTTCTATTTTGCATCGTTGCCGCACGTTTTGTTTCTCCGCTTTGCTATTTTGGAAGAAAAAAAATATCTCATTTTATTTCTGGCCTCTCCAAAAAATATAAATTTAACTTGATATATATTTTTTTTCATCTGAAGACGATTGCTTGTGTTGCGATCGAAACGTCGTGATATTGTTATTATTTTGATTATTTTTTAATATCTACGTGGCTTTCCCGAAATATCCAAAGAACATCACGTGTATTAAAATGCCCACCACTATTGCCTCTTGTTAAATTCCATGAGTCACGCATATCGTTTACGGCTCCCGTGCGCCGGAAAAACAACAACAACAGAAACGTCAACCAAAACACACGTCAACAATAGGACGCGTAGCATGCAGCAGCCCGTTTGCTCAGTCCACTGCTGGATGGAGCCAGGACCTTGCCACTGTCGTGTAGATCCATAGGAGGGATCTATTTGACCAGACCACATCTCAGCACCCCGGTTAGTGCTAGTTAGTGCTGGTTAGTGCTGGTTGAAGGAGTGGCACATTTGACTTGGGGGCAGGACCGTCCATAGAAAGGTTGTGGGATACCCCCCCCCCCCCCAAAGCACGGGGCCCGGGGCAGTCGCCCACGGTTCGCCGTACCCTAGGCACGGCTCTTTTTGGGGGCATGGAAGTACGGTACAACAATGGATGTTAATGCAAGCCGACATAATTGTGGGCTGTGCATAAAAAAGCCGTTGTTGGACTGTACTTCGATGCTCCTACGTCTATGCTGTTCCGCCTTCACTAACCCGAGCTGACCCACGTGGTGAAGTATGGTCAGATAACGCCCCCACGTGACCAGCGACTGCAATAGGGAGGCCCTCATCCAGCAGTGGATTTACGAATATTCTGACGCATGGAAATAATTATCACTGTCCACGAAGGGTATTATTAACAGGTGTTATGAATCAACGTTGCAATTCATCATCAGCCATGGTCGATCCACTGATGGCTGAAGGCCTCCCCAATCCACCGCTGCCACTCAGAGATGGATCTAGAAACTTCCCGAAGGATGGGAGAGAGAGGGGACGGAGGGAGGGGGGACGGAGTGGGGGGGGGGGTATTCCTGAAATATATATTTTTTAAATAGGGCCCTTACATCCATAAAATATAATCAATACATTATATGTGGTAAATATCAATAAAATACCAATTTTCGGGGTCTCGTGGAGGGTCGAGGGGGCGGTGGGGGAAATCACCCCCTCCCCTTCCCCTCCACTTTCCACCACCTCTCACGACCCTGCAATGCAACAACAAAGAACCCCTGTATAGCCGTAACAGAACTTTGGGGCAAGTGCTGTGAGCACCACCCTGCACCTGTGACAAGGAACGGATTTCATCGCTCCGTCTCTCCGTTGGAGGAAGTTCCATTCCTTGGTAATTTCAATCGAACGTATGTTCACAGGCGTGCGTGTGTTTACTTTTGTTCTATGGAGGGAGCAGCGGTGTAGTGGTTAGCGCTACGCTGCGCTACGAACCCGGGTGCCCGACTTCGATCCCCGCTCACGGCCAACACCGGTGACGATTATCTGAACCGGTCCTGCGCCTACCCTAGGTCGACTCAGCCTCAAATGGGGTACCCGGTGCGGTGTGTAAAATATCGCCACTGGGGAGACAAAGGCGGTCGGGCGTTGTGCTGGCCACCCACCCCCCTCGCGTGCCGTGGCGGCTTTAATGTTTGTAAACCTG